TGGGATGACGGGCTACAGTCAGCTTTGGATCAGAGGGTATAACGTCGCATCTGATTACAACCGTAATTATAGCCACAGCCGTCAAAACATGAGCAGGAGCGGCAGAGACAGGACAGTAGGACGAGGACGATGAAGAAATGTGTGAAGAGAGTCATCTTTGGATGGTTTCCCAGTCGTCACATTCATCGTGTCAGCTTGTAACCTACCTGCAGCGAGTGTAAAAGAGTCCCTGTGGTAAGAAAAAAACAACTTATCCTGTGATGGAAACATCCAAGGTTTATTTGTCATTAAGACACTGTGACCGGTCAGTTGGAAGTCTTTGACATTCAATTACATATTTCACCACCAACGACTGCTGCAGACCATATTTTACCATGCCACTGCCTTGATGGAACTAAAACATAGGGACATTTTTTGATAAATCCGAAAAATCAATTGTTGTGGGCTGGACAAATTTAAACTATCAAAGGGATGTTCAAGGATTTTCTGCCTATCGCCAGTTTAAAGCAGAAGAATGATAGCATCATGAAACACCCAAAAGTTGACTTAAACATACTACAATTCAACTTGGAAGGCAGCGAGGGAAGGAAATACCCCAATGGTAGTTTTATACATTTACTGTAGAACTGTAGGAGTGACATAGTGGTGCAGTTGTTAGCACTGTTGCTACAAATCTGTGAGCCTGTCGTGGCCATCTTGAATGTCCTCCCACCTGCAGCTTCCTTTAACTAACCGTTGACAGAGTAACTTTTTCATCTCCATGAATCTTTGATCCAAAGTGAAACCTTACAGAGTTTGACGCCTTGAACCGTCAGAGGAGATTCTCTGTTTTCATCCCTCCACCCAACACTGTCCTGTGTTGCGCAAAGTGAAGGTGTCAGACGGCGATAAATTCCCGAGGAAACCTACTTAACATTTAAGGTTTCTGGTTTTCCGCCAACTTCCCCCCCCTTCAGCTTAGTTCTTGTACCTCTCCTCCTCCTCCTCGTCTCTCTCTCCGTCTGTCTGTCTCTTTCTCTCCATCCGCTCTCTTTCATACTATTTTCAGCTGTGGCGACAAGTTCCACTTTTTGAGCGGAAGAAAGGATTCCTTAGCGCGTTGCCATGACAACGTTCCCACAGCTCCCCCACCCCCGACACACTTTTGGCTCGCCTTTTCTCCTGCTCGTCATCGTGTTCAATTTTTGATTTCTCTTGGTCAGCTGCTCGATCAAGAAAGTCTAGAGATGATTACATTTAGATCTATGAATGTTGTTTTTATGCCTTTATGTTAGAGATAGGAGGGTGGAGAGTCAGAAACCACAGAGAGAGAGAGAGTGGGGCCGACATGCAGGGAAGGAGCCACAGGTCAGATTCGAACCGTGCTCTGCATAAATGAGCTAATGTGACATGATATACAATTCACTTAGCGGACGCTTTTATCCAAAGCGACGTACATCAGAGAGTAAGAACAACACAAGCAAGGATCTAGAAAAAAGGGAACAATGTCAGTAAGAGCAAACGATCAGCTTTGAGTCTGATTGGACACACAGGTGCTGACAGGAAGTGACCAGAGGCAAAGCACAACATTGAGGGCAGTTCTTGAGAGCTCAGTATAGAAACCATCTTATAAGTCGTCGTTGTCAAACAAAAACCATCGTCATTACCATCATCATCATCAATAATATGGAGACCATCATCATTAAGTTAGTAGGTATTCATGAAAGAGCTGGGTCTTTAGCTTTTTCTTAAAGGTGCAGAGGATGTATATGAAGAGGCCGAAAGAACATTAGCGCCGTACTGTAGCTTTTCTGAATGAAAGTTTGTCCTCTGGTCACATTTCAGACCACCAGAAATGTATCTCAGTCACTTTGTGTCCAATTAAAGACCTGACTTCATACTTGTTTTCCGCTCGCTAGTATCTGAAAAGATTATTATCTTTGTGTGTCTACCTTAGTTTCTTCATTGTTTATATATCAGGTGTGTAGAGCATCTCTTCAGGTTGAAGTCACTTTGCCCTGCAGCCGACCTGAAAGAGTCCGTGTGAGGAGACTGAAGGGCCTCCGGGTCAAAACACAACCTGTGTGTGTGGCATGCATATAATGCATAAACCTACATCACAAACCCCGGGGTTAAGTGGCCTCTACAACTGGTCTACACTCTGACATCTCACACACACACACACACACACACACACACACACACACACACACACACACACACCTTCAGATCGAAACACTGATGGGAAATGCCCATTCTGTGTTGGACTTTGTTGGAGTAATTCACCTTTTGTTATTTATTTATGACACCAGGAAGAGATGGAGGGAATATCCAGAGAAGAGGAAAAAGCAGACGAGTTTGTGTGTGTGTGTGTGTGTGTGTGTGTGTGTGTGTGGGGGGGGGGGGGTGTCTGACAGATGAATCCAATAAAAGATGAAGAGCAGCTATCGAGGCGACGGTGGTGTATAAGGACGAGCACGTATGTTTTATTAAAGAGCCGTGGTGTTAGATTATTTACAACAGCTGGAGGAAAGGGTTTATATTGGCTCTCTCACACACACTCTCACACACACACACACACACACACACACACACACACACAAGCTTGATCACACTCTAAAGACACAATCGGAGGTGGATTGTGTAATTGGATGTCAGAAGCTGTTAGAGGGAGAAGGAGCAGGAGAGTGAGAGAGGGAGACGTAAAGGGGACGAACGAGTCACTTTTCATTAAACTTGTGCGTGTTTGGGTTCGGCCTGGATAAACAAATTAAGGAGCACGCTACACATCCGATGCATTCTTAAGAGTGTAGATCCGTGCAGAATTGACGCAACGGATTGGTGATAGCACGCTAACACGCTAACACACATCCAGGCGATACATTCATGTGTTTCTTGTTTACCTCTTCCCGTTCCTTTCATCGCGGGCATTTTCACTGTGGCAGCGTGAGAGAGCTCGAGGATGGCACGTTTCCAGAGCGCTGACCTGATAACGCACACCTCCCACATTCACACACAATGAGAAACCGTGCCTACTTTGATTCTGAAGCACATAGACACACACGTCACGTGCACACAGTCCCGTCTTAACACACTCGCACACAACATCGTGGCCCAAAAATAACAAGCGTGTCCCACATAGAGCGAGTTCAGTCCAAAGTGAGAGGAGCCGAGCGCTCTCCTCACGTGTCGGGAGTCTCTCGCACACTTTTTTGTGCAACTTCTTGTCCTCAATTTCTCTCCCTCCGTGTCGCTCACATTCACTTGCTTCAGGGAGCAAAGTGCAGGTTCAGTCACTGCAGGATCTCGTTTCTGCTCAAATTCTTTGAAGATTTGTCAAAAATGTTCTTTATAGCTTCGCCCCACGCACACTTCCTGTTCATGGATTTCTTTTTACGTCCCTGCGGCATCTTGCCTTCACTGTGAATGTCAAAGAGCTCTCATGAAAGGGAAGTAGTGATCCCCCCTTTGTACCGCCTACAGAGGAAGTGACAGAGGCGGGGCCGGCGCAACCAGTGGGGGAGAATGGTGCTGTGTGTGCGCATGTCAGAATGTGTGTATGTGAAGTACCTGTTGTTCCTCTACATGTCGTGCTGTTAGAATTAGAATTCACAGACTGGAACACTAATTTTATGCCGTTGTGGAATATATATAAATGTACAAAGACTTAATGATGGCTGAGCTTTGTTACGACGGTGTCGCAGAAACGCACTCTTAAAGGGATATCGTAATCCAACTCGTAGTCAGTAACATATTTCAGTTTAGGATATGCATACAACGACGGAAAGTTGCACCCTCCAAACGTTTCACACTTTAAATGTTTAAAAATGAAGTGAAAGGTAGAGTCAGTAACTTTTCACCAAAAAATACATTTCGACTGATGATGAAGTTATACTGCTCAATCATCACTTCTGGGCCTCCATCCTGTGGTGGTGACTGTGTCTGTTTTGCTTTGATTTGGTTGACTCTGGACCTTTCTGGGTGGGGAGCTGGTGTGTTTCCTCCAGCCAGTGACAGCGCAGCAGGTTGAGAGTTGAGTTTGGGACTTGATCAAATTAAACGTTTGAGCGCAAATCAAAAAAAAGCAAAACAAATATAATCATAAGCCGTTTTCACATATGCACTCTTGAAAGAATCAAGATCATTTCAGGAGGACTGCTCCGGAGTTTCTCCCGACCTTGCTGTTCACATATACACCTCACAGTGGGAGACTATACCCGTCAGACCGGAGGGGGGGGGGGGGGGGTCTCCTGATGTAAGATGTGACGTAAAATGAACGACGCTGAAGTGGTCGCTATACTGAGAATATTTGCCCTCATATCAATGCTCTCTTCTCATGACTTGAGTCTTTCACTCACATTACGACATCCTGGCTCTATGTGGAGCTCACAGCTCGTCCACTCACACACTGAAACACTCTTTTCTTTTTGAACACACTCTTCTATTTTTCTCGCTCTGTTGGTCAGCTATGCCCTCTCTTTCTCTTTTTAACCATCTCATTTTTTTTCCTCTCATCTTCTTACCCTTCACTTTCTCTCTCTCTCTCTCTCTCTCTCTCTCTCTCTCTCTCTCTCTCTCTCTCCTCTCTCTCTCTGTCCCTCACGGTCGCTCTGGCTGCGGTTTCGTCTCGTTAGCACCATTTAGAAACTTCTTTCCGGCTCATTTGGCTCTTGGCTCGTCCCGGCCGCGCTGACATTAAGCAGTGTGATGAGCGACTTCCCCCTCCCTCCCTCCCTCCCCCCCACGGCGGACATGACACCTCCACGTCCATCACGACTCACAGCTGAGCACAGACACATTCTCCCTCAGCCTTTTTCTTTCTTTTTGATCCGTCAGTGAGGAGCCAATATTTCCTACAGGGAGATTAAATAATGAGCCACAGCATGTCAAACAAATGTCAGAAAACACTCGACAGAATTCAGTCAAGCAGTGGCAGACACAGCTTGGCTGTTGGCTCTGATTGGTTGATTCTAACTTATCACCTCTCCCCCCGGTCTCTCTTCTGTTGTTTCCCCCAGGAGTAGACCAACATGCCGCTGGTGAAGAGGAACATTGAGCCCCGGCATCTCTGCCGTGGAGCGTTGCCAGATGGGGTGACCAGTGAACTGGAGTGTGTCACCAACAGCACCCTGGCGGCCATCATCAAACAGCTGGGCAGTCTGAGTGAGTCATTTTTTTTCTCTGGATGTTTTACATGTACAGATGTTTGAGTTAAGAGTCCGGAGGAGAGTGTAATGTACCGAGGAGTAAGAACTGGATTTAGATGATAAGAAGGGGTCTGTTGGAGGCACACAGTCCTTGAAGAAATAACCAGCACATATCAGGGACTGTGACAACTACTTAACCTCTCAAAATATACTCAAAAAACAAACTTGTACTTGTATGTATTGTGTCTCCACTTCCTGCATACCCAGCATTTTAAACCAGGGACTTTTATATGTGTCTCTTATTTCTTATTCAACAAATATTTCTATTTTGTTGGTAAAACTGTCTCGTGAGGTGTCCTGTAGTTGTTTTGTTGTAGGTACCTGCCTCAGGTCTACGGATGAAATGAACTAAGGCAGGTACCTACAGCGGGTCACTGAGCTTTTTGGAGGAATCAAGCTGATTCTGTCGCTAACGCTCGCATGCTGTTAGGACATGCTGTAACACTAAGGATTGGGTTTGCAGGGTAACTCACCATACAACATGATAGAGTACACTATGGAATGGATTTATACCATACTGTGCTAAACAAAACAAAACGCTTCCATGGCCAATGATAACTTCAATATCAGGAGACAAGGATTCTGCGATAATTGACATACTGCAAGACTTGATGATACATGACACTATCTGATTAAAGGCTATATATGCAATTTTTCACACTTAAATGTAGAAATCAAGTATATCCTCTGAAAATAACTCTGTGAGTCATGACTGTCTACAATGGGTGTAACACCCGAGTCCCACTGTCTGTGATGTTTTCAGAGTTTTCAGAGTCCTATCTTCAGTTTATTTACATCGCCCGGACGGCCGGCTGACTCCTCCCCTCGTGTATAAAAGTTGTTTAATTGAGGGACTAGAGAAAAGAAGAATAACATACTGTACTCACTGCTTAACTGTGTTTCTAGATCACGCTCATTTCAGGTAAATTTACATGCAGTGTGAAGATACGAGCATAATAAAGATCGCTAGCATTAGCATGCTAACACAACAATGCAGCGCGAGTTGTTTTGGTTTCATGCTGGTGCTCAAGGGCGACATCTGCTGGATCAAAAAAATTGCATATAAAGCCTTTAAATGAATATTAAATACTCAGTGTGTAAATTCCACCACCAGGGGGCTCTCAATCAGCACAATAATGAAAGATGACGTCGAGGCTGGTGGGGAATCATGGGAGTGATTCTGTCTGCTACACCACCTCCCCTCCCCCAATGAAAACGAACTCTGAGTTAACCGTAGGAAAGACGATTGGGCGAAACCGACCTGAGGAAGATAATATGTTTACAGACGATTAACAGACGACGCAACAACATCACTGCAGCCTTCAGTAGCATCCTGCGTTTCAATGGCAACGATAAACATGTCGTGTTTGACACTTCCTGTTACAACTATCAGACGAGTTAAGACGATGATCTATTGCCTCATATCGATACACTAAAGCTGATTACAGCTTCAAAGTTCGTCATGAGCAGTCACATCGTGGTGTGTTGGCTGTTTGCATGTTTTAGCTCAATCCCATCCCGACACTAATAAATTCAGAGCCATGTTTTAGACAAACAGATCACAGTAAAACGTGTGAAACCGTGATGGTGATTCTGTCTGCGGATGGCGACGCTGCTGATGCTGAGAGGAAACGAGTCAGCATGAAGGGCAGCTGCCGCCGTGTGTGGTTTGATGGATTAGTGTGAAACGGGGCTGTTTGAAGAAGTCAACCCAAGGTGGAATTTTATTTTATGGACTCCCAATAAAACGTAAACAAGTTGCCAAAACGGCCGCTTCGACCCCGCCGTAAAGGACGACCGACAGTAAAAAAACAGAATGCAGTCAGCATTCTGCAGCTCTTAACATACCAGCTGTTAACTTCTCTTGTTCTGTTACAGCGATTTGAAAGTTATGCAGATATTCACTGCTGTAATTGCTGTATGTTTGTATGTGCAGCATGAGGAGAGATCATTTGGTGGAAATGTTAGAGGAGAGGCTGCTACAATTCTGTAAGAAGTCGGGATGGAAATTCAGCTCACTGTGAATGAGTGAGCGGGCGCTCTGCCTCTGCTCCATCTGTCATGTGATAGACGGAGAGCGAGGAATATTGACGGAGAGATATTGCATCGATGCAGCAGGTGTGTGTTTGTATGTGTGTGTGCATTCAGTTAGGTTTAGCAGTGTCAGCGAGGAAGGCGAGATTTCTGCATCTCAGTAAGAACGTTTAAATATTTGGACTTGTCTCTGTCTAACATGCACTCAGTCGCTCTCTCTCTCACTCAGTCACTCTCTCTCTCACTCAGTCACTCTCTCTCTCACACAGAGAGATATGTTGTATTAAGTATTCACATGTCTCACAGCAGGAGAGCCCGCCTCCTGCTGTGAGACATGTGAATACCCTGCTGAGACAGACGAAGAAGAAGGAGTAGGAGCAGCTACACCTCCCTCTCTTTGTGTCTCTTATCGATTATCTCCTGATTTATCTGCCTATTTTTAGACTTTTATTTTCTTACCTTTTTGTGCTTTTATTTCCTAAAGTGAAAGTCATGATCATTTGCATTGCGCATGTCACACCTTTGGGTCGACTGCACACGATAAAATGTTTATTATTACAGCACTAGTTCACACACAACAGCGTTATGTGTCTTACGACAGTGCAGTTGCAGACAGAACCCTTCAGGGGGCGCCAAGGTGCACCAAACCAAAGTCCTTACAGCAGTAGGAGTGCTGCTGTTTACGAGCTGTATACTTTTATATTCTGCCTTTCTGTTCTTTAATGCACCAAAACAACAAGGCAAATAGCTTTTTTTTGTAAACGTACTTCTGAATTCTGGAGTTGGCCAATGTTTGCTCGGATGTTAAACGGACAAACTAGGAGGATTTTGAATTTACACCAATCATTGTTTTTTGCGGTTAATGTTCTCTATTCGTTCATATTCGCACATATACAAACAAATATATACTGCGACGTCTCTCTTATAGATCCTATTATTATAATACATCCAATAATATTGCTCCTTTACTTCAGTTTTTTGTCATTTTTTAAACACGCAGAGAGAACTCCCATGATTCCCCGCTAGCCTCGACGTCATCTCTTGTTATTGTAGTATTGATCAAGAGCCCCCTGGTGGTGGAATCTACATATTGTACCTTTAAAAAAATAATAATAATTTAAATCCTAAAAGTGTGTATCTGTGTGTGTGTGTGTGTGTGTGTGTGTGTGTGTGTGTGTGTGTGTTTTCTGTGCAGGTCGTCATGCAGAGGACATTTTCGGAGAGCTGTTTAATGAAGCCAACAGCTTCTACCTGAGGATGAGCAGCCTGCAGGAGAGAGTGGACCAGCTGGCTGTGAAGGTCACCCAGCTCGACTCCACAGTGGAGGAAGGTAGGGACACTGAGAGAGTGTGTGTGTGTGTGTGTGTGTGTGTGTGTGTGTGTTTGGACTTAAACAGTTTGACCTTTATTTCTTATTCTTCAGTTACCTTTGTCCTGAATGTGTCATGTCGGACGAAGAGTTTCTGTCACAGGGAGTTTCATCCTTCCTGACTCCCAGAGATGCGTGGTTACTGTCTTATCACCCGAGTGTGCTTTGATTGTTTCAGTCAAACCACACCTCGGTTTTACTTCCCCTCATTGACTTTAACTTGTAAAACAATGAAAAATGGGGTAAATAAAAAACAACTTTTCTTTCTCTAATGTTTTATAAGACATGTTCTTGTTCCACTTGCTTCATTGCTCAGACGCCGGTGGCTATGTGTGTGTGAGTGTGCGGTTTGTGTGCACAGTGTGATTCACAATCATTATCTCCACCATTAAGCTCATCGCTGCCTCTGAAGGTCAATTCTATAAAATCAGTAATTGATAGGCCTGCTCACACACACAGACACAGAAACACACACGCAGTCGGACTCACAATCCGTGGTAACATTTGGGGATTTCAGAGAGGACTACGGTGGCCCCAGAGGCTCACACTAACCTTTTATGTGAGATGTGAGAAAACTTGAATCTCGCTGTCCTATTTATTTCTCTTCTTTTCCCCCTCTGCCTTTCGTCCCTCGTTCCGTCTTTTGTCCTTCGTTCTTCCATCATTCAGTCAGATTTTGCTTCATTTTTCATCTTCGTATCTTTTTTATTTATATTTTCTGTCTCCCTTTGTGTCTAAACTCTCGTCCTTTTCACTCATTTAATTTTTCTTTTTCTCTACTGTTTCGGCTCCCTTCCGTCTTCTCATTAACCCACCTTTTCTTCCTCCTTGCTTCCCTCCCTCTTTACATCTCCCTCTTATTTTCTTTCTTTCTTTCGTTCTCTCTATGCTGATATTGCCTCGTCATTCTGCAGCACGGCGGCCTCAGACAGAAAGCGTCAGATCAAGCAGCACAGACGAGGATGAAAAGAAAAAGCTCAGCAGTCTTCTGTCTTATCCTTCTCCCTTTCCCTCCTCCTCCTCTTCTTACTCTTACCCATCCCCTGCTCCCTCTTTCATCTCCCCTCTCCTCTTCTGTCCATCTCCAGGCCTCCGTCTCCTAACTCACAATTTTTCTCCATCTCATACCACACTTTCACTGTCTTCACCCCTTCTCTTTCTCATACTTCACTACTGCCACATGCAGAATACAGAAAAAGGAGGACGATAAAACGAGAAAGGAAAGAGAGATAGAAGATTTGGAAAATCAAGATGGAGAAAAAAGAAGGAAGGAAGGGGCAGTAAAAGACAGAGAAAGTAAAAATGACATTCTTGAGACAAAGAGAAATAAAGAAAGAAGTCAAGCAGAGGATGATTAAAGAAGAAAGCATAAAAGGGAAATGAGAGAGGAAATGTGGACAGGGAGATGATTAGAGCCAGCTAGAGGGAAAGAAGGAAGTGAGATGAAAAAGGAGAGAAAATGAAATGAAGGTGGTGGGAAGGATCGGAGGAATAAAAAAAGAAAAAACATGAAAGGAAAGAAAAAGGGAAACCAGACATGAAGGAAGGACAGAGGAAAGATGTCTCTTATCAATGTGGTTCTAATAATGTAATCAAATCATTTAAAGTATAATAAAACAATGCCAGTGTAATTAATATGTAATCATGTGTTCTTTTCAGTCATTATAGTCTTAATGGTGAAAATGCCTCTTTGTGCTGAAATAAATAAACAATATAAATGTGGTAATGGTTTACATCAGGGTTATTCAATTGGCGGCCCAAGAGCCAAATGCGGCCCGCAGGCAACCTCGGAGTGGCCCCAACCCGGTCAGCATGAATCCAATTAATGTAATGTAATTCCAGTATACGGAACTAGCTTGCGAGTGAGGCATCTTACTTCATTCCTGTCTTTGTCGAGAGTTTGCTGTAGCCTACTGATCAAGTATCTGAGTAGATGCTAAAATTAGTCTCGAACTCTCCGAACACAAATTGATTTTAATTCATGAAATCGAACTTCATGTGAACTTTTGAGGAGAACAAAACATTGATTGTTGTCTGTTTTCCACTCTAGAGAATTGTAGTTCACACTCTGTTCATGGGAAAAGACGGATAAAGAGAAGTATAGCAATCCATCTGTCAAGCTGCTGTAACATGACTAAAAGCTCTTAAAAGCATTCATTTATCTCATTTTACTTGGATGTTAGTGAAGCTAGAGAGCAGCAAGGAGTTAGCAGCAAATGCTAACTGCTAAAGTAATCTGGTTATACTAAAGGACATTTATAAGCAGGCTCGTTAAACAGCACACGAGCTAAACAGGAACGTCAAAAGTTGTCATGATTGGGGAATGAAACGAAAACAACAAAACTTTTTTGTTCAACTTTAAATATGTGGCCCGATGTGGGGTTCACTCACTTTTGGAGCCAGGCTCTAGTGGCCATTGTTGGAACTGTAGTTTTATTTTTTTTGCGCTTTTGTGTAGGAAAATGTTTTTTCGTGAAACCATCCGCACTAATTCAGAAAAATATAAATGTTTAAGTCAGGCGACAGCAAGCCACCGAATGAGACTTTAATACACTCATCTTTTATAACTTGTTTTCATCATTTAAATGTGCACTGACTGCAAGACAGAGAGTGAGAGGAGTGTGGATGGTTCAGAGAGAGAGAAATGATGAACATGCCAATACTGTGTGTGTGTGTGTGTGTGTGTGTGTGTGTGTGTGTGTGTGTGTGTGTGTGTGTGTGTGTGTGTGTGTGTGGTGTGTGTGTGTGTGTGTGTGTGTGTGTGTGTGTGTTCAAAAAGAAAGGAAGAGCTTGAGGTCTCTTTGAAGATGTGTCTGAATGAA